CTGGATAGTGGGATTACTTTTAATAAGTACATTTAATAACAACACCAAACAATTTTTTTACCTTTATATTTCCTGGATGCGCTTGAAACAGCCAGCTCCATTTTTCTTAGGTTTACATGACTCCTTTTTTCCCAGAGATCTAGTACAAAAGTTCTGCTATTTCTTCATTGATTCATTTGAATCCTAAAATGACACAAGAACCAGCAATTACATTATAGGCTAGTCTGCCTGAAAATAAGCAAGCACCCCAGCTGATGTATCAGACAAGACTGGCTAATACAGTAAGATCAACAGTATCGCTCTGATGGGGAAAAAAGCTTTAGTCATCATACACATCAGCTGTAAAGACACACCAGAGAAGGGAGGATTTTCAGGGTATTTGCAACCATAACTGTAACTTCCTTGTTTCAAAGTTTTTCCCGCTCCTAGATCAAAGTAGCACAATTCACTTTATAACTGAGGTTATTTTATTTGCAACACTGCACCAGTTCAGTACAATATGAGCCCCAGGCTCTTTAATTTCTTACTCTTTTTCTTATGTGTAAATTAAAGCTTTGCTTTCAGTGAATGCCGTATGGTTCTTACCAGGTGCAAGCTTACACAAATTCTAAGCAGTTTAAACGAAGAGTGGGAAACTTCCCTGGTACTGCCCATACTGATTGGAGGTAATGAGTTTAAAGTCCAGGTATCTGGAATACATCACATTGCCAAAACTATGGACAGTTCAAACAAGCCACAACCAAACTGGCTTGTATCCTTGTATCAGCACAGAACATTAAGGAAAAAACGTTGAATAATGATTTTCTTGGAACTGTCTTTTCAGTCAATTTGCAATAAATGCATTCACCTCAGCAGCTTTATGAACCAACTTCATCAATCTTGACTAGAATTTCCAAGTTTTCCACCCACATTTTCTCAAAGTGCATTGATCCATTGAGAAGTTTAAAAAATTTGACTTCAACTTGAAGCTTTTAATATTACCTCTCATTCTTTAACCCCAAAGAAAAGTGGTGCAACCTTTCCAAAATCTTTAAAAGAAGGTTGACCAGATAATTCTCATACTGCACATTTTAGTCTTTATCCATAAAGTTGTGTTATCCCATGAACTCCTGGGAGAGGCAGAATTTGCTCCAGGATGATCTACGGTACAGTCTCCCGGTACAGTCTCCAACAAAGTCATTATATAGAGAAATGCAAAGCATTTGATTCCAAAGAACTCCAATATGCTGTTGTTTCCTCTAGGACCAAATCAACCCAACCATTCTGATTTTAAAATGTTCTAGAACTAAATTGTCTGGACAACCACGGGTCAGAACGGTCAGATCAGCATCACCCAGGAGGGAAATGTAACATTTCAGAGTCCTTCTGAACAGAATTAACTGGATAGTGGGATTACTTTTAATAAGTACATTTAATAACTTAACATAAAAAAATGTTTTACCTTTATATTTCCTGGATGCGCTTGAAACAGCCAGCTCCATTTTTCTTAGGTTTACATGACTCCTTTTTTCCATAGATCTAGTACAAAAGTTCTGCTATTTCTTCATTGATTCATTTGAATCCTAAAATGACACAAGACCTAGCAATTACATTATAGGCTAGTCTGCCTGAAGAATAAGCAAGCACCCCAGCTGATGTATCAGACAAGACTGGCTAATACAGTAAGATCAACAGTATCGCTCTGATGGGGAAAAAAGCTTTAGTCATCATACACATCAGCTCTAAAGACACACCAGAGAAGGGAGGATTTTCAGGGTATTTGCAACCATAACTGTAACTTCCTTGTTTCAAAGTTTTCCCGCTATTTGCTAATCTAGACTTTACCAAGAAATTACACGCAAGCAACAGCCTAAACTATTTTTAAAATGGTTGTTCACCAATGTGTTATATTTTCCAGCTACATGATTGCTTTTGAAAAGAATTTCTTTGGAAATTTCCACAACTCAAAAAGCAAAAATTAAAATATTATCTATAAAGTATTTTTTTTTTAAAAAAAACTCTCCTTACATGAATAAGCTTTTAACTAATATGGAAGGTGATCAAACAAAGTTTAACTGGTTAACATCAGGGGATTTAAAACAGGAGATAATAAAACAGGAACAACATTCTGTATTCTCCTTAATAGGAAATGCATAAGTACAATACTTGCTTTGTGGTGGTGCTGAAAAGCATGCCCAGCTTGGGAGGACATGCCTCAGTGTCATCCATTCATTGAATGAATGGCTTAGAGCAGTATTTCTCAACCTTGGCAAGTTGAAGATGTGTGGACTTCAATTCCCAGAATTGAAAAGCTGACTGGGGATTTCTGGGAGCTGAAGTTCACATATCTTCAAGTTGCCAAGGTTAAGAAACATTGGCTTAGTCTCACTCTTTACACCGTCTCCTTCAAACTAGGAATATTAAAAAGGAGCAACCTCTACCATGCTTACAAGTTTGCAACAGGCAAACAGAACCCAAGAGCCAATATGGGTTTATTACTCCTTTAATTTCCAATCAAAACTCACATTGCGTAGGATTTCAAAAAGTTGGAACAGCAAATCCTATGTAGAAGAATCTGGCTCTTATTTTTTTTGTAATAAAGCAGATAAAGGATGCATAGCAATCTTTAAAATATTCACAGGAAATACTGAAATATTTAGTCATTGCTATTGAGGTGGGTAGCTTCGTTTATTTAAAGAAATAAATTTCAACAGAGGAATGAAGTTTTGCCAATTCAAGTATATCCCTTAGGAGTTTGCGGTAGTTCGAATGTGTTAACAGGGAAGACTGAAAGCTCAGCAGAACATCTATTAATATTCCAAGTTAAGTATATGCATGTGTGAGAGCCTTGTTGGTGTATTTGGGTTAAGACAGGGGTAGGCAACCTTGGCTTTTATGACTCGTGGACTTCAACTCCCAGAATTCCTGAGCCAGCAGGAGTTGAAATCCACTAGTCATAAAAGAGCCAAGGTTGCCTACCCCTGGGTTAAGACATCAGGCTAGAAATCAGGAAACCACAAGTTCTGATTCCACCTTAAGCACAAACAGCCCTAGGAAACAAGACAATGGCAAACCACTGCTGAAATCTTACCAAGAAAACTGCAGGGACTGGTATAGGCAGTCCCCAGTAGTCAAGAACTAGTCACAGTGTTTCTCAACCTTGACAATTTTAAGGCATGTGGACTTCAACTCCCAGAATTCCACAGCCAGCATTGCTGGCTGTGGAATTCTGGGAGTTGAAGTCCACATGCCTTAAAATTGTCAAGGTTGAGAAACACTGAACTAGTGCATGGACCATAAATATCTTTCGTTCTTCACTGTTATAAGGCAGTAATACCTTTCTACACCCAACTCAAAATAATAGGGCAGCCAGAAACTCACATGTCGCTTTAAAAAAAATAAATATTCGCCATGGAACTGATAGTACTTTTTAGGTGACTCCACATCTTTCAGCTTGGACAGCTTTGCAAGACATTCCTCCATACATTCCTCACTCAATTCTTCGTGCCTGGAACAGACAGAGATCAAAGATAGAAGGATTACTCCGCGTCCCTGACAAAAGCAAGGCAAAGCAAATTAATAAAAAAAAAATTTATATATAAAAAAAAAAAGCAAGGCGTATAAAAAAATTCCCAGCCAGTCCCCCAATTTACTCCTCACGGTACAATTTGGTGCGTCAGACAAGTTCTGGCTAACAGCAAAAAGTTCAACACTTCCGCTCTGATGGGGAAAAAAGTCTTAAAAAGTCATCACCAGCACCAAGCTAAACCTTCAAACTCTAAGATCGCATCTTGGGAGAAGAGGACCGTGAAAGAACAATGCAGCCCCCCCTGCAAACGGGACACTCCTAAATACATTTTGCATAACCTTAAGGGAAAGTAGAGCAGGCTAATTTAGGGAGAAAAAAAAGAAAAGGAGGGATGAGAAATCGGCGAGGCAAGCTACAATCTCGCGGACGACGAAGAACGTGGTAAATGGCGGCGGATCGCCGAGCTCCGCCGTCCACGAAGAGCCCCGCTCCTCACCTTTTCAGGAAAACTCCCCAAAAGAACGCGTGCGTCTGCGTCGCGCCCTTATATAGGCTAGAGCAGCTTGGTGCGCATGTCCGTCCAAGGTATTTTGGGAAATGTAGTTTTCAAAGTCCCTTGGTGTCTGCTAGTACTTCCGTGCTTTTCTTTGAGAGGTGTCTGGCGTTACGGGCGGGGATACGTTACATTTGAGGATCGAGCGCTTTAGTTTTGCACATGGGGTTTGTAGACGCTGAACACGATACTATGTGGTTTAATGAAGCTGAAATACAGCACTGGTGTGAAACGTAGAATGGCAACGGGCAATGATCCTTTATTCCAGGGGTCCTCAACCTTGGCAACTTTAAGACTTGTGGACTTCAATTCCCAGAATTCCTCAGCCAGCTTTGCTGGCTGAGGAATTCTGGGAGTTGAAGTCCACAAGTCTTAAAGTGGCCAAGGTTGAGGACCCCTGCGTTTATTCCGATAGCAAAGACGGCTGTATAAACATAAAACATGGCAAATATGTAGGGATTTGCTCTGCATAACACGCTTATTCAAGAATATTTCTCAAAGTTCAATAGAAGGTATACCTTTAATAAGGAGCACAGACTTTATGGGATATCACACTGTTATTGTTATCGTGTTGTTAAAGTCGTTCAATTCAAGGGCATTAAGTTTATTGGACTGTCAGCCCAGTGTAAACCTTGTTTGCTTGTCAGAGCAACCACGGTCCTACTTCTGCCTACCAAAGTACTCATAAAAAAATTAAAATCTCTCATAACGCGTAAGCATTTGTCTTTAAGAAACCCCTCACACTGCTGTGTGAAGTTCTCTATTCTGTTCTACATTTTAAGAAAGACAATGAAAATTAGCACATCTTTTAAGTTCCAGAAAAAGTTGAATGGGAAACACTCAAAGGAGCACGCATGGTTTGCAATGGGTGGTTAAGGCAGTATTTCCCAACTTTGGAGTTGGCTAGGGAATTCTGGGAATTGGAGATTGCACATCTTAAAGTTGCTGTGATTTGAGATACACTGGGTTAAAGTGTTGGACCAGGATGGGAGACCCAGGTTCTAGTCCAGAGGTCCCCAACCTTTTGGGCACCAGGGACCAGTTACATAGAGAGAGGTTTTTCCATGTACCCGAGGGGGGCATGGTTTTGTGTGCTGCCTGTATCCTGCAGATGGGGCTTTGCTTGTTTGTGCAGCCCGGTTGCTGGCATGCCGTGGCCCAGTACTGGTCCACGGACCAGGGGGTTGGGGACCCCTATTCTAGTCTACCCTAAGCAATAGTAGCAAAACCTTCGCTTTGTAGATCCTGCAAGGAATTGTACAAGGTGTTTAATAATCAAAAAAATGGTTCTCTGTTCCTTAGGGTTATTGTGCTAGCAAATCTGCTGTGACTGAATTTAATGAAGCTCTTAATCATGAACTGAGAGCCAGAAGAATCAGTGATGCTGGGTCTCTCCTACCATGTTTTTGTTTCATTGATTTCAGAATGCTTTATAATTGTGGGAGCAGATAATAATGCTATGCTTTCATGTACGCAGATCCCAACCAATATAGATTGTGCTATCCTCCCAATATGGGCATTTTCCAGATGTGTTGGATTACAGTGACCCTTACTTAACTGATGATATGGAAGTGTAGCTGAAGATCTCATATGTAGCAAAGATGCAAAGCAGCTTGAATTTAGATACATTAATCCACTATCCAGCATAGTAATGAATACATTGAGAGACTAAAAGGAGAGCCAAAGTCTACCCTCATGAATTTGAGCCCAACCTTTTTCACAGGATTGTTTTTGTGGATACATGAACAACAATGTATGGGAAGGAAGGAAGGAAGGAAGGAAGGAAGGAAGGAAGGAAGGAAGGAAGGAAGGAAGGAAGGAAGGAAGGAAGGAAGGAAGGAAGGAAGGAAGTCTTAGCATGGATTCATATCAACTAATTCAATCACTACATCCATTTTCCTGGGAAGGGTTTGAGAAAAGCAAAGTAATTACAAATGTAGTATCTGATCTTTCAACTATGTCTATGAAAAAAAAAGGATGGCATTGAACAAGGATACACCAACTTATACTACTTAACTTGGATTGCTCCCATTGGTCTCTACCTGAACTGTTTAATACTCCAAGGGGAATGTGCTGTTAGCATGATTTATGGCAGAGCTTCTCTCTTACTACTCTTGTACAGAAAAGATTCAACAGATTTTTATTTAGACTTCTTTACAGCAACTCTACTTAGGTTCAACAGATTACATTGTTATTGCAGTTAGTCATAGTTTCCAGCTGGGCCAGTTGTTCCAAATTGACTTCATTTGGAAGGGACAGGTGATCTGAACAGGAAGGATTTGTCTATATTATGGGTGTCAAACTGCTGGCCCGCAGGCTGGATTGTCATGCCGAAACCGCGCCCACCCCATTGCCGGCAATGGAAAAAGTCGCGATACGTTGCAACATGTCATGTGACATTGTGAGTTTGACACCTCTGGTCTAGATAAAGGCCTATGGGATTTTTTCCCTTCAGGGAACATTGCACAGTTCCAGTTTCAGTGGGCAGAATGGAGTCATCTTATTAATTATATTTAATTTTTGTCCTGGCTTCAGCCATTGTTTGGCATGCTGCTTCTTTCCCAGCCCCAAAGTTGCGTATCCCTAATCTTAAGTGTTAATCAAGATGACCCCAAGGAAGCAACAATCTTTGGACTTCCACTCAGTTCATATTTTGGAAAGAGATTCCCGTTTATCTCTGTAACAGTTAGAATTATTTTTAAGAAAGTATGTATGTATTATGTGTGTGTGTGTTTAAGCTGAGGTATATATATCCTTGAGTAAATTGTTTAATGTCTTTACAACCAGTTATAAATTTATGATTCTTAAATTTTCATTCATTATATTATTCAAAATCTGCTGCGGTTAAAAAAGAAAGTTCTACGAAATTGCCATTTAATAAAAAAAACTTTCCCCTCTTTTTTAGTATTTACCATTTATTGGACAAACACTACGTTTTACTTACATTCCATGGGGAGAAAAAATTCCAGCGTAAACAATGAACTGAAGCAGTACTTAACTTGCAATGCTATCGTGCTTTACCTGGACCATATGCAAAAACTTTATTGCCCACATTGCTGTGGGCAATAAACACAACATCAAAAGCAACACAGTTTATATATAAACATAGGTAATTTTTTTCAGCCCTACATGGAGATGTAATTAAACAGTATAAAGCACTCAGGAAAATCAATCTGCAGCTTTATATGCACTACATTGAGATCATATCCTGTACTGTACTGAGTTGGTGTGCCTTTATATACAGACACACACACACATTTTTTAAAAAACAAAGATTAGCGACCATTTAAGCTTCTGTTGCATTCAGGTTTCCCTCCCTCTTCCCTACCCATCAAAAATATTCTAGAAATCAAAGTGATCAAATAAAGTTTAAAATTCCTAAAATGTATAATTATTTCTTCAACTGTCTGAGATTTAGGCGAGATTCGCCTTACTGACTTTTTGATAATCAAATGGTAGGCACACCTTTTCCAGTGGAATTATTTTTACAATTTCATTCAAAACAAAAAATTGAACACATACATGGATATGATCTTCCCAAGTTAGTTCATAGGTAAGTGTGTCAGACAATCAAGTTTCTAAACTGTGCTATAGTTCTAGGTACAATCAAGAAACTTTTAAATGAAAAATTTATAGTGTCATTCAAAACAATGCAATGAAACTAAAAATTTTATCACTGTTTGAAAAGCAACGGTTATGATTTAGACACTACAGTGGGTTGTAACAACTGTAGCACTCTAAAACAGTTAGGTTACATTATTAGGAAGCATTTGATTTTCTCTGGTGCTTTCAGGTTTGGGTCCAGTCAAGCCTGTTTAGGCAGTGGTGTCCAGTGTTTGTCCCAAAGTGTTTGAGCTAGCCGGTTTGAGGAGAGGGTCACTTTCCATTTCTTGCTTCACGCATCTGAGGGGAAAAAAACAGTACCTCTTTTAGAAGGGAGCTATGTTTTGAATTATGGAAGATTCAGTTCTTCAAATTCATGGTAAGAACCACCTTTTTTTCTCAGACAGCAAATTACTACTATATGTTTGTCCATTTGCTTTAAGTGCACTATCACAATGCAATTAAGTAACATCCGATAAGCAAAACCTACACCAGTGAAGCAATATAATCTACTTCATCCAAAGGGGGTAACTAAATGACACGAGCAAAACCTTCAGAGAAAAATGAATTGCAGAATATTTTGCTGTAATCCAAAGTAGGATGATCACAGCAGTGGCATTGTTTTAATTGATGGGTTGTACACCATGTTCAATGAGAGGGTGGCCATATAAATTGCTTAAATAAATAAATAACGCCGATGTACAATTTGAGACATAGATTTATTTATTTAAAATATTTACATAGCCACCCATTTTCCAACTAGTTCAGGGCAGCTTCCAATCAAAGATAAAACATATAAAATTATATTAAAACTATAAAATTAATCAGATATACATTTCTCATATCCAATCTCCATTATTTGTGACTTTCCACATAAATACACTAAGGCAAATATTTATACAAAACTTTCCTAAAATAGTAAAAAAAAAAAAAAAAAAAAGCCCAGATTTTGCAAGATTATGGAACATATTTTCACTCACACAGACATTGGTCCATTTCCTGTTCTTGGCATCTCTGTACTTTGTTGGTCCAACTCAGACAGCAATTTTAAGATGTTTAATGCAGCCTAGAATAGGGA